ATCATTAGCTTTTATCAAATTGTTAGATGTCATTTTTCCCTGCTTGATATTTCCAATTTATATTTTTTAACATTTTAAAAGCTTTATCTCAAAATAAGAAACAAGTATAAATGTTGTACAGTATTTTTTCAAGTTGAAAGTTATAAAAGCAAAAACAAGAAAAATGATAAAAAACAAAACAAGAAATAAGACTAAAATGATGTTTTATGTACTTTACAACAAGAACCTGTAGAATAAATTCTACACTGTATCCAGGTGAAGATCCATGCTGTGGTGACAAACAACCACACAGAATCACAATCAAAAGAGGACAATAATAATAATTATTATAATAATAGTCAATATCCTTATTAGATGCAATGAAAATAGATTCTTACGCTATTTACATTTATATAAGTACGTCGATGTGATCACTAAAAAAATAGCATAGCATGATGAAAAAGACGCTAAACTTGACAAAAACAAAATTTTATTGTCAAAATGTTTATGTTATTATTAAGAGGAAAAAAAAAGTATTTTTTTAATTATTTAAAAAAATTTTTCCTTCTTTTTAGAACATTCTAACTTTTGATGAAAAAAACCTTGTTTCTCTTTGTATCACCGGAAATACTAAATAACATATAAGATTTTAGCACGTTTTTTTTTTTTTTTTTTTTTTTTTTTTGTATGACAGACATTAATTTCGAAAATCTTGCAAAAATAAAAATAATTGTTGGATTTTAATGAAACTTTCAAAAACTATTCACAAATGACAGAAATTATTATGTTTTCCTTTTATAAAAAAAATAATTTTTATATTTATTAACCCCCACAACTAATTTTATGAAAACTCTAGAAATTCATTACCATACAATTTAGTGATTAAAAGTACAAGGCTTTGAGGAAAGCAAATCATGTTTTTTTTTTTTTTTTTAATCAGAAAATCAGGTCTGAATTGTAACATACAAAAAACAATAAAACAAAGATATTATTTAATTTCAAATGATTTTAGTTGTTTTTATGAATATAGATAATATTGTCTGAAAGCAAAAAAAAATTTTCAATGAAAAATGAATTTTCAAAACAATTATTTGTTATTTCTTAAATTATTTTTACATTAAAGTTGTTAAATATTCTAAAATTAGTGAAAACGGTGCCCAGTTTAAACAATGGTTTTATTAAGTAGATTTATCTTTACAAATTATAAATTGTAATGCTTATTACAATCAACAGAGTGTATTAAAAACCCAATTTTGCATGGCTTTTGTGTCCATAAAATGGCTGTAATTCAAATGTATGGAAGACCATATATGAAAACAATAAAACGTCACATTATTTGAATTAAGTTTTGTTCCCCTTCTATTACAGTCTTTATTTTTGCAAATTATTTGTGTAAAGCACATGCGGAGAAGTTAATTTGATTTTTCAATTTCAACTGAGAATGGTACCTACAAGTATATGATTTTATAACTTTTGGGGTTCATCTTATGAAATTTATACGATTTTATTTTTATATTAATCTCAGTTATAACATTTTTCCAAAAATGAAATATCAAAATTAATAATAAAATGAATGCAAATACAAATAACACAGCAAAATATCATAAATGTACATAAAATTATAGTATTTTATGTACACTTCTGATAAAATTTCATAAGAAACGTACCTATAAATTAATTAGATACCTTTCTTATGAAATTTTATCTCACTCTCAACAGTCTTATTTTAATTTTTTTAATATATTTTTCATAAAGCTTTGTAAATGTAAAGGTGAAAGCTATGTACAAAAAAAAAACAAACATTAGAGCACTGAAAGTTTTCCTTAAAAATAATGAGGTAAATAATTGGTTCACTTAAATCTAAATAATTATGTCCCTTCTGTCCTTCTGTATGATAACTTTCCCACACGTAAGTTGTCAATACGTGATGAAATCATCACTCATCACTTGTCAAGTGACACCAAATGTCAAACCTGTTTTGTCTTATTTTTAAACTACATTTTTTTTAGCACAGAAAGTAAATAATGTTTGTTTCAAAATATTTTAAACAAACTTTATAATTTCTAATTTTCTTAAAATAAATTTTGAAAAAATTAAAATTGATTTTTAAAAGAATTTTAAACAGATTTTCATTTTTGTTTATAAAATGGAAAAAAATGGTTGACATGATTGATTTTCTGTCAATTTTGCTGATTCAAAAAAAAACAAGATTTTTAACAAAAATTTCAGACATGCTAGGAATGATTAAAAAATGTAACAAATACCCAAAAATACTTTGATCTTTCCTCTTGATAATGACATAAACATTTAGACAGTAAAAATTATTTTCATCAATTTTAAGGCCCTCTTTCATCATGCGATTCTCTTTTTTAGCAAATTTTTTCATGGTACCTAAATTTATATTAACAAGCTTTTACACACGTTGAAGCATTTAGCACACATCTGAGAATTCTAGTCAACCAAAATGGGTAGGGAGAACAGGAGGTAGGCCAATGTTTCCCCTTTTGACAAAAAAAAAATGAGGTGGATAGAAAGTTCAGAAAAAGATCAGAGTACATTGCCACGGTGATTGTCTGTGGAATCAAAGTGGTGAAAGAACTTTTGGGGTTCATTAACTGTGATTAATGGCTGGAGATGAGAAGAGGGCAAGTGAACAGACAGGTTGACTACTCCCCACCTCCCAATCTTATTTACTGTTACAATGAAACTGTTAAATATGAATATAACAATTTTAGTGTGGCACACCAAAGAGATTTTGTACATGTAAATAGCAGGTGGGCTTTTTTTTCTCTTTTTGGCAATTTATCACATTTGATTGAGTTTTGATAGAAAAAAATGATGATCATAATCTAATTTAGGCATCATAAAAACTGAAGTTTATAAATACTAACTCAGTAATAATGTCTCCGTATTGCATAATCATTCTAATAATAATAGGTTACACACACACACACACACACACACACATGCATGCATTCATCAATACCAAATTGAATTTAACAAGCAATGTAAGTTAACAAATCTTGCATGAATATTATATGCTTATACTGTAATATTGATGTGTTGTTGCACTGAAATTAGTTTGTAGTTAAGGATTGTGCATATAAAAAGTAAATAAAAGGAATTAAGAAAATAGACCATTTGAATGCACAGTGACACTGGTGAAACAAATTTCACTTTTATATATATATATATATATATATATATATATATATATATATATATATACAAATATACTACACAGGTGATATAATGGTTAACTATGTGGAAAATGTAATTGGCAAGCCATGTTCAAATTCTGGCTGAGACTTCACTTCCCTTTAAAATTCTTTGGAAAGACATGAATCTATCACCACTTCTCCAGTTGTGCATGAAATAGTAGAGCAGACAGGGCTTTTGGAAAAGTAACAGGTCTTGAAGGACAAAGGTTGACATTAAATCCCTTGCTAACATGCCAATGGTCTGACAAATCTTTGTATGTATATATATATAAGCCACATACCATCAAACTTACCATGGAGGTAAACTGACTGGTGACTTCATATCCATATTAATACAGTATTTTTAATAAAATATTTTAGCACAGCATTTCATTTAAGATTTTCATTTCTTGTTTTATATATAGATTGCTGGGTTAAAAAAATGATATTACTATTTTTTTCAAGAGATTAAATTAAAAATGTTTCTAATTCTTTCTCCTATTTCTTTTATCAAAAGTAATTTTTGGCACATAAATGCATTGCACAACTTTTTTCTTTTACCAGTTTTCATAAACATATTTTCACATTTTTCCTACACAAACACACACACACTAAAAAGTGTTTTAAATGGAAAACCTTTATTAAATCCTGTCTTTCATTTCTTTGTCTCTTACTCTGATGTGCATAGTCATTGTTCACTACTATTAAAGTGAAGATAACAGACTTTCTAATTGAGGGAGAAAATCCTGCCAACACCAGCAGATTCATTTTTTATCAGTTATATTCCTTAAAATAAAAAAGAAATTATCCATAATTTATGTTTTTTCTTATAGGAGTAAAAGTTGGTGGGAGATAATATTTAAAAACTTACAAAAGATTTCTTTAAAAAAAAAAAATCAGATTTTTGTTTTCTTTAAAAAATTTCCCGGATAAACAATATTTATTGCTTCGATGTCCATCACTGGATAGCTGGGAGAAAAGTGGCCACCCAGGTAGTGTCTAGTGAGTTGATAGGATCAAGACACTGGGCATAGCATTGATTAGAGAGAAACCATGTCTGACAGAGCAAGGCAAATATTGCAAACATGGACATTATATGATAGATGACTGTCATATTGGGATCAGCAGCCATGGTGATGATGAAGATGATGATGGAGATGAAGACATTATTGGTTGGAAGGGAGGTGCCAATAACTGGACAACATGGCAAAAATTGTGTTAGGGGCTGGAAGCTGTTTAGCAGTTCTACTCAATAATAGCAGACAAACTGTAAACATCTGGGTAATTGATTGCAACAACAACAGAAGTCATGACATTCCAAATCATTTCTGTTGTAAAAATATTTTTTAAAAATCAGCAAAAAATTAAACCAAGACAAAAGTACCACTAGCAGATTACTAGTGACACCAATGCAAGTATCAGTAACTTTATTTGTTTTACAGTTTTTCCATTGGTCAGTGTAGAATTTGTGCATGCATCACAATTTTCAGGGCTGGTATGATTGGACAGGATTTATGCATTGTTCTGACTTAAACTGATTGACCACTGTTGATGCAGATCATGATTTTTTTCTGTTAAGGATTGAATAGTGTCCAAACCCAACCAAAATGATAAGGTTTTTTATTTGCAATGAGTGGTTAGTGGGTTTTGTTGTTGAATCGTTGTTAAATCGTTGTTATGATCTGGCTGGCAGCTGTTGACAGTCCTGGCTATATTAATTTATATTTATTATTATTATTGTTGTTGTTTAGCACAAGCACTGTAAGCTTCACATCCTGTGGCCAGCTCTATCATAGGTCCAGGGAATAGTCAGCACAGATGTCATCGTTGATAGTCATCAAGGGGACGCACTATTGTCTCTACAAGAATTCAAAACAAATGCATATGATTAAATAGAATATAAGAAACACTTTTTCAAATATAAAACAAATTAAAACAAAAGTAAAGTTCTGTTGAAGTGCAAAGGTGTTGTAAAACTAATTTACTAAGTTTGAATTCTGGTTGAAACTGATTGTCACTTTGATACTGGTAACTTTGGTAAAGATGCATCTTTACCACTTCTCTGTGTCCCATCACAATAGTAAAGAGAGAAAAAGAAAATTAACTTACCACCTGATGTTAACAAATGAAAGTCAATAATTAAATCATAAGAAAAATGGCTTTGAAATATTTGTCGTATATTATACTTTTCTACAAATACTATGTCAGTTTTTATTATGCAAGTTAGTTTGAAACAAAAGAAAGTAACAGTCTTAGCAGAAGAAACTCTCAACCAATATGACCTTTGACCTCAACAGACAATAAATGCTGAATTTACAGAAGAGAAATTATGAAACTTGTTCAAATATTTCTGTAGCCACAAAGACAAATGCACATGAATGACTGTCCTTGTAAAATAACCCTGGTGACTGCCGTTCTTTTCTTTCTTTCCTACTTCTGATGCTCCCACCCTTTTCCTCAAACATCTACCATCTCCATTATTAAAAACAGTATCCTCTGCACATTTGTTACTTCTCAGTTTCTTCTACACGTTTCTACTTTCTTTGACAGTTTTTGTCTATGCCTAATTCAAGGGCCACTGATAAAATAAAAAATCAATAATACATTACAGAAGAATATAAAGATCTATTCTATTTACACCAACATTGAAAGAAGTTTCTTTATCTCATTTCATTATCACTCTTCCACATAGGGTGTGACCTTGAAAAAATTTAATATTCTACTTCTATATATCCTTTAATAATTCTGTGTGAAAGGCTTCTTCTATCAGGTCCCTCTCCAAGAATATCCTCTTTACCACTTCTGGAATTTCACTTGTCTTTGCTCCAATTTCTCTCCATAGAGTTTTACTCTTTACTTCAATCGGGCTGACTATCAACCTGAAAAAGATGAATATCCAAGGACAAGATGTAGATGTGCCACCAATCCTCACCATTGACGAGCTGGAAGTTGTGAACCAATTCATGTACCTCAGGTCTACGATCAGCAGAGACCTCACTCTGGACACAGAAATAGACAAGAGGATTGGGAAAGCAACAACCACATTCGCTCACCTCACCACACGAATGTGGGAGAACTCCAAGCTTTCTGTCAAGATAAAGATGGCAGTCTACAATACTTGCCGGAACGAGACATGGACAACATATGTCAAGTAGGAGAAGAGATTGAACACTTTTCACTTGAGGTGTATCCTAGGCATATCATGGAAGGACAAAGTGCCCAACACTGAAGTTCTGTTCCATGCCAGCCTAACAACTATGTTCACTTTGCTCAGACAGCACAGGCTGAGATGACTGGGTCATGTTTGTCATATGGAGGATAGCTGAATTCCCAAAGACATCATCTACAGAGAACTTTCAAATGGTAAAAGAGACATCGGTCATCCTCAGTTGCACTACAGAGATATCTGTAAGAGGAACATAAAGGCGCTTGAGATCAAGGAGGACCTTGCTGCTGACCATTCTGGGTGGAGAAACACCCTGACTAAACAACTAATGTCAGGACAGGAGAAACTGAACAATGCAGCAGAAAAGAATGCTGAGCATAGACAACACACAGACAGTTCACAGGTGTGACTCGTGTGACAAAGACTGCCACTCATGCATCAGCCTGTTCAACCAGAGAAGCAGATGAGTGGGATCAAATCTATGGTTATTGATGACTGGTGGGGGACTTGTTGAGTTACTCTTTCAAGTCCATAGTCAATCATTGTCAGCTACAGCATCTGTTAGTAATGAGTCATGTCAACAACTACTTTTTTGTTCACATTCTCCTTTCTCATGTACACTTTGTAATAGATGTCAATTGATTGACACCTGCTACAACTCATGGTCAGTATTTAACAATTTCTGTGGTAATATTCGAGTCACTCTTTCTGGACAGAAATCACATCTTATCCATCCCACATGATGCAGATCATCAAATTCTTTCAAAATCTTCAGAACAACATAATGTAACCATTCCCTTCAAAAAATTATTTCACTACTCCAATTACTTCATTGTATTGAGAGTATTGGCTTTATTCTTCTTAAAGGGCACAAATATTAATTGCAACTTCAGATTAAATTCCTTAATCAATTCTCCCCAAATTCCTAAATAATAATTTCCACAGCTCCCTTTGTTTTCACTTTTTCACTGGTAATTATTAATTTCAGCCATCTAATCACCAAAGACAAGTCAGTTAAAATCTCAATCTCTCTCTCTCTCAGTCTGCATGTTAAGTTCACTTTCTTCAGTACAGCATCTGTAATGATATTATTATAATCTTTTTTATTTGGTCATGCTATATTCTCCCCAAATCCCTAAATAATTATAAATCTTTATCACAAATTTAAACCACCCATTGCCATTGAAATGATACCACTATTGAATTTCATAGACCCTCTTTCTTTTAAAGATTCTAGTCATTTTGCAGTCAACCACAACTTTTGGAGATGATCTCCAAACTCAAGTGAATACACTTTCATTTCATTCACTTATACATCATCAAAATTTCTGGCTTTCTTTATTTTCTCTACCTCTCTCAATACAATATTCACTTGGCACAGAATTCAAACCAAATCCTAATTTGGTTAGGCAATATGTCTTACCTTTGTAATTTACCAGTTGATATTTCCACAACTTCTCAGATGCCAATGTCTTGTATCCCTGCATATATTTGTAATGTCACCCATGTAACATTTCATGTGGGTAAGAAAATGTCAACTCAGATATATGTATCTGTTATTTATAGTAATAAGAAATAATATCAGATTTCAAAAATTCATTAATTGCTTAAATTATTTTGTTTATATTTTGGCTATTAAAATATAAGTTAACAGATATAGACAAGGGAAAGTAAAAACAAAAGATTGGCATCTTTTAAAAAGCGTAACTGAGCCTTGCTTTGCTTCCATGGCTGAATGGTAAAAGCATGCCTGGCTAAAAGATGGTTTGCCAGAAAAATGGTATGCATGTTCAATCTCTTTGAATAGGTACCAAGGTAATAGATGGTAATTTCATTTTTTTTTTGTATTAAGAAAAAACAAAGAAAAAATCAGAAATGCACTAAAATAATATTTTAAATCTAAAATAAGAAATAATGTCAGATAAAAAAAAATTCATTAATTGCTTAAATTAATTTTGTTTTCTTGACTTAAATATTTTTTCCATTTTCATATACATATATTTTAAAGATGAAGCACAAGTTTAATATTGGATTAATATCTAGAAAGGCTGAAGGCCATTTTATTCATTTGGTGGTTTTGAAAATTTTTTTATTTGCAGAATGCGAATGAACATTGTCTTGCATGAAGATACTTTGGCTTGTAACCTATAGAATTTTTTAACAAAAGAACTTACAATAATTCTCTGCAGAAATGTTTAATAAATAAATTTAAATATTAATAAATAAATTATTGTAAATATTTCTAATACTTTATTTATTAAAATTAAAAAAATTATTTATTATTTCTAAATAAATAAATATTAAATATTTGTAAATCATAAGATGAAATTCATATGATATATTAACATATATGTTGGTGAATACTAATTTTATTGTGGAAACATTGACTTGCAAATAAAATTTGACATTGTGTAATTGAAAACAAATAGCAATAGGCATCTATCTTGTGAGATAATGGCAACACCTACTGATGGAGACTTATTGATGTCATGATGAAGTGTACAGTTATGGCTGAGCTTTCTGACAATCCAAATAGTGTTTCTGTCTTACTACCTTGGTTCTTAACGTTCACACACCAAACCATTGTCCATAATTACATCAAACAGGAGGCTCAAAAATATCCTGAGCTGACCAAGCATAGAAATGAATACAGTATGGGAACCAGTAATAAGGAGTGCCAGAGAAAAGTGATAACAACAAAAATTGCAATATGAGCTCTGGTAAAAACATAAAATGATAACAGCAAAAATTGCAATATGAGCACTGGTAAAAAATGGATGAAGACATTAGGTTTATAATACCCAGAAATTCATACACAGATGTCCTCAAGGACACATGGCACAGTGGATAAAGGCGTTAGTTAGATCCAGTATCAGGATCCATGTATATATTCACTATTGCTGGTGATAATGGCGTGCCCATTGCTAAGCCCTCCTTCTGTCGGTATATGTGTGGTCCCATTCCGAAGTGTGTTGTTTGTGTACAGAAAGTCAACAGTTCAATACCCGGCTAAGGCAGTGGAGAGCTTTCAGAGGGAAATTAACAGGAGATAACTGATAACTGACATCCATTAAACATGGCATGTGGAACTAGAACAGTCTACCCCAGTGAGTGAAATAAAGGGTTCAGTTTGACATTCCAACCACCTGAAGAAGGCCGGAGTGTACAACAGCCGAAACGTTGTAATAAATATGGTGACAAAGATGAGGACAATAGTCCAAATAATGTAAATAATGTACATAATACCTCATCTCAGAAATATAGACAGAGAACACCTGCATTTATGCAAAAAGATCTAGAAGAGTGGCCATTCAAGATAATTTGATAAGAAAGATTGAATCAGTTCAAAAAGTTGTCCAGAAATACCATAACCTTTCAACTTGTAAAGAAGACCAGTATACCAAATACTGTCAAATGTCTTTGAGATATCCAAAGCAACAATCCAAACTTCACTATTCTCATCTAAAGCTTGACAGACTCTTTTAGTAATGATCGTTAACACCAGCGGTTGATCTAGAGAAGTGAAAGCCATATTATCTGAAATAAGACCCAGTGAGGTGAGATGCTTAACCAATTCAGAGGTAATCTAGTACTTTGCCAAAAACATAGTAAAAGGCTAACAGGCTGATAGAAGAATCAGTTGGTTCTCCTGAGTTCTTAAAGAAGAAGATTTCCAACAAGCAGAAAAGAAAG